GTTTCATTGCTGTGACTAGGTTGAACTTTACAGAGGAGTTGTTCTCTTTCATCTGATTTTTTTTTTTTTAACTAGAAAAATTCAAAGGGATACAGGGTCTGACAAACCCTCTAACATGATTTTTGTGCCACTGGGGTTTAGACAATTAGATGGCTGGCAGGTATTTTGGAGATCCCCTAGCCTTGGAAATACCTGTGTTTTATAGGTTGCTGTGACTAGGTTGAACTTTACAGAGGAGTTGTTCTCTTTCATCTGATTTTTTTTTTTTTAACTAGAAAAATTCAAAGGGATACAGGGTCTGACAAACCCTCTAACATGATTTTTGTGCCACTGGGGTTTAGACAATTAGATGGCTGGCAGGTATTTTGGAGATCCCCTAGCCTTGGAAATACCTGTGTTTTATAGGTGAAAGTGCAGGAGCCAGGAACTGGCTTATTAAAATCTGCCTATTGTCATAATTACCATGGTTTGCATGGCAGGGTTTTGGCACGTCCTCCTTGAGGCTCCTGTTCTTATGGGCTCACTAATTTACGAGGCCGTAAAGGAATAACTGTTCCATATATGTCTGTTAATGGTAAGCGAGCCTTAGAGTTCATCTCCCCCTTGCCCTGGCAATGTCCCCGTGCTCCAGCTGGTGGCATTTTGTGTCCTTCACCTTGCACAGTGATTCTGACAGGCACTGGGAGCACTGACTGCTCACTTTGCATCCCAAAGCTGGACGCAAGGTGTCCTTTATATTTTTTTTTTAATTGGGACACTCCAGTTGTCTTGGTGCTGTCTTTTTCTACTAGAGGGATGCAGTTGCTTCTTCACCTCCAAGTGTATGGACTTGGAGGGGGGAGACAAAAGAAGTCCTTTGGGTCTTTGCATCAGCTCAGCTGCCATCGTGCTGAGAGCTTGCCTGAACGCGGTGTTCAGTGACTGAAACCATGTGGCCCTTTGGGACCACGCTCAGCGAACTGCTCCAAAGGCAACAGGATGCTCTTGCCTTCTCCCAGGCAGAGAGCCCTACTGGAAGGCAGGCAAGTCTACTCCGCCTGGGTGCCGGGCTGGCCCGCAGGAGACTGGTTGGTTGCCAAGTCTGCCACTGGTCTGCTGGCCGCAGGCGATTCACAGCACCTCTCTGAGCTTTGGTTTCTCCCTGTATAAAACGGGGATATTTTACATGCTGCTGTAAAAATATTTACGGATCTAGAAATAGGGTTTAACAGCCTGCATCGCCATTGCGTGGCAGCTCTTGTCTGCAGCAGAAAGGGCGTGAAACCAAAAGTGAGGAGCTTGCTGGGTCAAGGGTAGGTTTGTGTGTGTTACATTAGTTCCAGGATGCTGTTGCTGGTGAGGGGGCTGAAGCACACCCATGGACCCCAAAGGTCGTTGTACATCAGGAGTGCAATTCCAGTAGTGTGGACAGCTGTCTTTCAGAGAGCCAGAGTGACAACCCATTTTCCAGTACAGCAGAAGGCTAGGTGACTTGCTTCAATACCTCTTAGTGCTTAAGAGTACTTAATCAGCAAAAGATGGTCTCTAAGCATTTGGGAGTAAGAGGGTGGTAGGTTTTTGACGGTATTAATTGCAGGAAGCAACAGGCTATTCTCTTGTTGTGTTCCCAAAGGCCATGTAGCCTGGAGGGAATTTTTGTGACGCAGACTGCAGCCAACTCACGTGTATCTGAACCATAGTGGTGACTGGACCCCAGGGCCTGCTGAACACTGTCTGAAAGCTAAGTCCTCTAGAACTGAAGCCCCCTGGAATGATGCCCTGGGAAGAGCAGAGTGACTGCTTGAGACCCAGCAAGGAACTCAGTAGGAGATTTTTCTAGTAAAGGCAGCAGAGTGGACCTGGTTGTCTTCTGCTTCCACCCCAGAGCTGTTCCATAGTTGTATATACAAAGGCTGTGTGTTGCACAGGGTATAAGATCAGGCTTCCATCCGTGCTCATGCATCCTACAACCATTACACTTGGTTTGTAAAAAGCTAACATGAGACTTAACAGCCCATGAAAATGTCCATGAGGGTCCTCATTGTCCATCACTGAGTATGTCTCTGCCTACTGCCATCAGACACACTGGAATATTCAGCAGCTTTAAATAGCAGCTGCAGGCATTCTTGTCCTCCTTGTCCAGATGATGCTGTCTGGAAGCTTAGAATGTGCGACATTCAGCTGTCTGCCAGACGGGATCATGGATATCCCACACCCTGGCATGCTGGAAGCCTATACCAGTGGGAAGATCCTGATACTGGATCTCAAGGCAGGGGCTAGGCTGCAGATGCTCTCTCCTGTAAAGCTTCTAGGCGTTCGGCCTCACACTACTAAGTATCAGATCAAAGCATTGCTCCTTGTGGTGCTAATGAGGGCAAGCGAATTGTATTCCTATCTGAAAGCTGCAGGAGCGAGGGCTGCAAATCAGTTCCTTCCTTATTTGCTATAAAACACCTAGACGTTGGGCTGATAATGGGAGAAAGTGCTCGTTCCTGTGAACGCTGGCCTTTAATCTTGTGGGTGTGCTGCTGGGCTAGAGCTTTCTGAACAGCAAGGGTAAGTTGTGAAGAACCTTAATGACTTCACTAGAAAGAAATCAGAGCTGAAACTTGAAGGCTGACCTCTTCCAAAGCTTGGAGGTCACCACCTTCATTCCACAGGTGATGAGTCTCTCGTATCGGTACTGTAAGATAGTGTGCACCCTCCAACTGTTCTCAAACGATGGTTTACAGTTTTATTTAAAACATTGTCACTGGCTTTGTTAACTGTAAGTCTTTGGCCCTCTTGCTGAGGGGAAGACACTTCCTGCCACATCTTCTTGAGCTGGTGTTTGTTGCTTGGCTGCTCCTCGCTCGCTTTGCTCTAAACGCTGCTTTCAGCTTCATCTCGGATGCCGGTGATGCTCAAGGTGAGACTGTTGCTTTACTCCCTTTCCCGCTGTGTAGCAGGAGATTTGAGATGTGACTGGAATTACCTTTTTGCTTATGAATTTCCTTTTCCAAGCCAAATGCTGTTGGAGAAGGCCTCAGGTGTCTGTCATGGATGTACTCGCCATTACTTCTACTGCAAAGGGACAGCTCGTTAGTGCTACGAACAGAGAGTAACCTGGCACGCTCCACTGAAAAGAAACGTTTCTTCCCTTTAATGTTTTCTGAGGTGATACAAAGCTGATGTGTGGTCTTGGGTGCAGGCTAAGCTACTTGCTACGAAATCTCCTGAAAAGCTGGAGGACCGAGTGAGACTCTGGGGCTGTGGTTCCCCACTAGCCTGAGTTGTTCTGGTTCTTCCCCTGACTCTGCTGTTGCAGCCCTCCACTTTGTGCTGCTGCTGGTGCTGTTACATGTGCAGAAGAGGTTTGCTTTGTGTCCATTGTATTTTGTAATTTAATGCATTGACAGGGTGCTAAAGTGCCAACCTATCTGCAGGGCAATTTCTGTGAAGATCTGGTGAAGGGGACAGAAGAGAGTTTGTTTTTTGTTGGTTTTTTTTTTTTAAAAATATATATATTTTAAATTAAATCTATTTAAATATATTTAAATATTTAAAGTGTATTTCCCTGTCCTCTAAGCTTTTACACAGAAAGAGTAGAACTACACATTTTCACAGGCCCATTTGTTGCACGAGCCAGCCCCTCTCTATCAGACTGTGTGCCAGTGGCTTCCTGAGGTACTGTTGTAACGTCCCTCCTGTTCCCAAGCTGCCAGAGTGTATTTTGATTACCAGCCTCGTGGCCGAGCACTCTTTGGTTTATGGTGGTTATCCTGTTCGCAGACTTGCTCTGCTTTCAGCTGCCTACGTGCTTCGTGTTCCACAGCTCCAGCATTAAAACGTTTGGTATCGCTCTTTTCCAAGTGTGGTGTTTCTCTGAATGCCGTGCTAGTTCTTCATTTACAGTGCACCTTTTCTCACTGCGAAGTCTATGGACAGTACTTCAACGTGGGAGGTCGTGTCTGAGCTCTACTGCTTTGTACACAGTCAACCCACTTCCATGCCATGGAGATGGCTTGTTTCAGCTGCCCTGGGGCTGCCTCTGCCTTGGGACTGTAAGGAAACATGTGTCCCGGAGTGAAAATGAACATTGGGGTTTTGGCATGCTGTCCCAGTTCAGGTTGGCACTGATATCCAGTTTAAATAAATGATGCTTGTGACTCACCAGCAGTGGGGTGGGTGGGACTGTAGTTCAGCTGGTGAACCAGCTGAACCCACCTTTTCTGTGCTGGCGGCCTCTTGGGGGTAAAAAAGAGGGTCTGGGATTGATGGACTCAGACACTTGTGTAAGACTGTAGCTTCTCTGTGCAAAGCACTCATGGTGTGAGACACTATCTGCCTGTTTTATGAGGGCAGTTGCACCTTGTGTGCACCCAATGGCTTTCCTAAGATTCAGTGGGAAGACTAAACATGAGCAGAAAAGTATTTTTCATTTCTTTTTTGCCATCCCACACTTACCTCCCTGTCAAAAAGAGACCATGTCCTCACAGATGCTTTACATCAGTTCTTTGCCAGATTGTAGAAGGAACTAGAGCTGGGTGACCTCTGTCAGCTTGGCTTTCAGGATGGCCCCTGATCTGCCCGCTGCTCATCATCTCCTCCTGAGTCTTCGCACATCACCGAATGGGTCAGTTTGCACTTTCAGCCAGACTTCAGCCTCTTTACAGCTGGTCTGCGCTACTTCTCTGGGGCTTCTCTGGCTTGCTTTCAGCTGCCACATTTAGGTTTTAACTTCTTGGTAACGTGAGCCC